CAATTCTGTGAGATAAAAACAAAAATTTGTCTTTTAGTTTTGTTTATTTTATACGCTTACAGGTTTTATCACTGCCAACTCTGAGTAATTTACTGCAAAATAATTCTATCTAAACATGCAATTTTGCATCAGGAAATATGCGAGCTTTTTGACAGACAAAAATTTTATTTAAATTAATATTGCTGAAATCTCAAAAGTTTGGCATAACTGAAAATACTAAATTTTTGGTAAACTAAAAAGTTTTACAGTTTGATAGTCTTGGAATTAATTTAATACATTCGACGAAACAACAATGTGGCGAATAAATAACGTATTAATTTTACATCAATAAAATCTGCCGCTCCCAAGCTTTAAACGCTATGAAATATAAAGTAGCTTAAACATTACCTTTTTTTGCACACTGTACTTCTCATTCCACTGCTCCAACGTTTATTTCTGACGTTCTAATCATGTTAAGTTATTTTAATTAATCGGAATAATCCGAAAATATACAAACATTGATGAACAAATTGGTAAAACTTTGTACAAATAACAGTAAGACATATCGATATGTTCATTAATTATTAGAGTGTTGAAAGGCACATGACGTCTCGACTAAAAATTGCATGAGCATTTCGGCTAATTGAAATTATCGTCTGCAAGAATGTTAAGTAGACGTGCTTTAATTACTAATGTGAGAAACTTTGGTGACAGTAATGCTCGCTAAATTCCGGTTTAAGCCGTACGTGCTCTAACAACTGTCAAGAAAAAGTTACGGCTTTGTATAGGGTCGAAATTTAAATTACAGTTAATCGATCGTAATTTCCGCATTAAGTAGCATAATAATAACAGTAACAAAGATGGCCTGGAGTTTTCGGGTTTTAATTAGTCGCGTAGAACATCAACTAGGAGAGTTTTAATTTACTCCTAATTTAATTTCTCTGTATATCCACTTACATTCAGCCTAGTTATACATATTTGTTTATCTATGTTCATTACATCGTAAGAAAAAAATGTTTTTGACCAAGACAATTAAGAGAGATATAAACCACGCATATTAATGCAAGAAGATGTTAAATCGAGAAAACAATCTGTCTAACTTGATATTTAATTAAACATGTCTTGCGTAATTCGTCACTAAAACGAGATGTTAAAATTTCAACGTTTGCTTCTTAGAACTTTGCTCTTTAGATTTACCAGCACTGAGACAGTGCAAACCAAAAGCTTAGACAGCATAAAATGGTGACAGTAGTTTTCAAAACTGCTGGTATCACTTGAATTTTATGTTTCGTAAGCAGCGAGGGGGTGTTTTTAGCAACACAGTTTTCTAAATAATTGTGATAAACACATCATAAAATTGCAACCTAAAATGGGTATGGATGTTAATTTAGGTATAATAATAGTAGCGTCTAGCAAATTTGTAAACATTATGCATATTAATATTAATATAATAATAACTATAAAAACTTTCCTATAGAATTAATCGTCAGTTTAGGTTTCATTACCTGTACAGCATATCGACATAAATGTCAGATTAGGGTCTTATTTATTAGTTAGAAATATCCATTAATACATAGGTATTGTATATGAGTCAAAACAAAGAGAAAATATTTTACAGAGAATGGAAGGGGCGAAAAATATTGGTATAATTAAGGAAATAATGCATGGCAATTAAACACGCAACGTGAGAATTTAATGATTCTGTAAATAGTATTTTGGACAATAAATGCTATGCTAGGACACATGAAACATTACTTGAAATGCTTATTAACGCTAATTGTTATTTTGTCTTACTTTAAATAGTTCGATCAACAGCAAGCAGTGGAACGGATATACGTAAATAAATCAGGTGAGAAGTTTGTAATTAAATGACGGACTAATATATAATTGATCAATTCTAGATACTGTCTGTTGAATCAGAAGTAAATATGGAGCAGTGTTTTACGTATAAGATATCTCAATTGTTGTGGTAGGGCAATATTGTCATTATGCTACACCAGATTTATAGTCATAGATGCATGCATGGCATGAAAGATTTTGGACATAAAAAAGGACATCCGAATTGGAGACACCATCATTTGGAAGACAACGCAAATTGTTAACTTTAATTAGACAAACCAACGCAAAGAAGCGAAAGGATTCCAAACACACGATACGACGCTGGATTTTCTATCTAGGAAGAATACGATCAATGGTTATTGTCTATTACGATTTTAATCAACATACGCAAGTTTTTCTCTCATAACAGAAACGAGAACATTAAATCTTATTGATATAACAAAGTAAAGTGGATACACCAAACTTTATCCTTCATTGTTACCACTTCAACTCAAACTAAACGAGCCTTATTTTCTCATTGGTTTGAGTTAAATGCGAACGATGTTCAGAAAGATGGTAAAGTATAAATCCTGACGATCGTTCTTAGTATTATCGATTTGGGAGTAGAATGATCAGCCCCTGAAAAGTTTGGAAATGGGCGTTGTTGCGTTGCAATATTTATCCAGATAAATTTTTTTAGTAACAATGTCTGGGTAAACCGGAAGAGTTCGGGTTCCGACTACAAGCCAAAAAAGTTTTGAATGTAGTATTCATTTGCAGTTTGCAATATTTGATGTGTCACATAATCATAATCAGATACGGATAATAATAACCTTTTTGGCAATACGGCCACAGCTTTCGGCAGAATGCATACACATTTTAGTATTTTGTACCATCATTAGAGAAATAAGCATTATCGTTAAGGGTAAGCATGCACACAGTGTATACATATATGCTATTCAGGCAAGCATGTATCTACAAGACGATTTTTTTATGCTCGTATCTAGAGACATCCATAATAGTTGGACATTAAGCAACAAAAAAGCACAAATAAGACTAGAAAGCAGACAAGGAACTTGCTTCTTGTTTCCATTTGTAGGAAAGCGTCGTTATACCAAGATAGTTTCATATGTACTAGTTATAGTATTGCTTAAAATATATGAAAATGCCCTTTCACTGACCATAGATGGGTATTTTCTTTGTTGTGGTCACTTACGGTTATCCAATAGTCAAATGTTAAGACATTTGTGTTATTCATGCAGTGCCTAATTAAGTAAAGTGTATTTACACTTAAGTTACCATATTAGGGAAATAGCTTGGGGATTCTTCCAAGACGAAGAGAAATCTTTATCACGTGAGAACAACATAATAAATGTACCACAACTAATCTATCTATTGGAAGGGAGGGAGACAGATGATGGATGTAATATTATGCTAATACACTCAGCCCTTTATACCGATATACCACTTGCGCAGTCATAAACCATGCTGACACATGAAACTGAATCTTTCAAGTCCGCTCACAAGTCATAATTACCGCAACATACGACTCTTGCCTGTATGGTTATTGTCGGAGTCTCGGTAATGGTATAGCCTGCTTGTTATGGTGCTGTAGCAGTAGTGGTAGTTGTTGTTGTAGCTTCTAGCTTCCGACTCTGAGCTCCTAGCTCTGGTTTTAGCTCCGACAGTAGCTGCAACTATAGTTATCTGTGTTTGCAGCTGCCGTCGTTGTAGTTATTGTTATTATCATTTGCAAAAAAAAAAAAGAGGAACGCATAAAAAACTTTTTCCATAGCAAGTGCCAATTATCGCAACTGTTGTCTAGTATATATTTATATGGAAAGAGATATGCGAGATATTGTTATTATTGTCACTATCATTATATTACTGCTATTGCTACTGCTACTGCTGCTGCTACGCCCATTATTATTGTTACAAAATGCCACTTTTATATGTGCGGTTATAATGCGTTTGTAATCAGCTAACGTACATCTGTATCCCCTTCCTTTCTTTTTCCTCCCTTCTCTCTCTCTTTCTCTCTCTCTTGCTCTCTCTCTTGCTCTCTCTCTTTCTCTCTCTCTCTCTCCCCCTCCGCTTCCCCACTTTTCCTCTTTCCCATCCTTCATTCATACCCTCGCCACATTTGTTGCAGCAAATACGTCTACTCCGGAGGATAGACAGGATTTTGTGGAGTACAACAGCAAAATAAGGTAGATTCAACGTTGCACAGATGATGGAGTTTTAGCAATCAATAAAAGATTACAATATTATATTATATATGCAACAGAGATATGAAATATAAAAGGGAAGGGCTACTTATGATGTAACACATATTATGCTTATTGCTACTCATAATATACATGTTCATCTGTTGCGTTCTCTACATCATTCAAATAGTCGTGTGACACAAATCTCAGTTTAAATATCATTGTCAGTTGCCCATTTTAATAGCGTAACCTTTTCCTAATCAAAATAAACGAGACAGGAAATGGACAAATACAATAGTTGCTTATCCAGGGGAAATATATTAATATAGTGCGTTCAAAATACAGAGAAAATAAAAGAACGTGGACGCTATAGTGACACCAATAACTCTATTATTTATCACTTCGCCGACATTCTGTCATGTCCCAGCGTACACAAAAAATGGTATTTACTATTCTTGTTGTTGATTGACTCTACATACATCTCAATGTATATATGTATATATATGTGTGTGCACGCAAATCATATTATATACTGTGTTACTATCTTACTACCATACTTGGCTTCAGTCGGAGCATCTAACTTTTGATTGGGAGTGGTCGATTACAGAAAACAGGTTGCCGGTTGATGCAACGTCATGTGGTCACAGATAGCCATAAATAGCAGGGTCCCGCCTAACATATGTAAGTCGACTTACATCAACATAAAAAAATTATCTATAAATACGACCATTGCACCTCGCCCTTATTTTTCCCCCCTTTCAAACATATAAACGCCCCGCACGCCCCTCCTTTACCATCATCATCTACAAGTATAAAGTACTAAGTAAACCATTGGGCTTGCATCGCGGATATACATTGATGATTGACACTTTATAAAGGTAAAACGCCAAGCATACAAACCGCACGCAAAATATACATACACTTCACGATCACCATAGACACGTCATCACAAACACACTTCGCTCTATTATATAGAATACTATGGAACACATAAACATGAATCAACAACGACATCAGACACAGCAGCCACAACCACAACCTTCATACTATCCTCCGTCTTCATACTCTTATCAACAGCCATACCCACCTCACAATCACGACTTACGACCGCATCACCAACATTCACCCTATTCTGCTCCGCACTATCAACAGCAGCAGCAACAGCAACAGCAACAGCAACCACAACAGCAGCAACCACAGCAACAACCACAACAGCAGCAGCAGCAGCAACCACAACAACCACAGCAATCCCTGCAGCAGTCTTCACAGCAGCAGTCTCCACAGCGACAGTCTTCACAACTGCAGCAGCAACAGTCTCCACAGCAGTCTTCACAACTGCAACAACAGTCTCAACAACAACCACAACAGCAACAGCAATCGACGCAGCCGTCTCAGCAAAAACCTCAACAACAGCAGCCACAGCCGCAACAACCACAGCGTCTGCCTTCCATAAGAGAATTAATAAACGGTCCGTCGGCTTTAGAACAATCCACGTCTAGCTCTGCAAATTCTACTCCTCCTCCCAATAATTCGGGCGCTACCTCTCCGCATTTCAACTATCGTTCTCTCTTTACTGGCGGCAGATATGATTCCGCTTCTCCCACTAGTCCCTCCTCATACACGCAACAAACTTCGCACACTAC